TTTAGAGACCAAGGGACGTTCTCGGACTAAGAGAAAGATCATTGATTCGATATCTTACTCTGTTTTAAGACGTAGCACTCTGATTTCTGCACCATCCCCAGAACAAATTTCATCTAACCTATTAATTACCACAGCATCTGCCTACGTAGTCGAATGTATGGGGTCACCGCCTACTGATAATGTGAATATATCGCTACTGTAGTTGCGTCGCTCGAATTTCACTTCCAAAACTAGAGCCGGGATTTAAGATTTTCCTTTTTCTCAGCTAAAATGAGGGTCTTTTCCGTAGAATCAATAAGTTTTTGATGCGTGGAGTGGACGGTGAATAAAAATTATACTTGATAACAAGTTAATCAGGTGCCCACTCTCGGTGAGGGAGAGATATAAGTATTTCTAAGCTCTGAAAGAAAAATTTATGAAATTTTGGAGACAACACCGTAATATAACTGATCTCAATGCCTTGAACTTGACGTTCTCAAAGGAATTTTCCATCCAGTCACGCTTGAGTTTCGATTCCTTGCTGCACATATGCATCGAAACATTCATAGAGCTTTCCTCACTCTGATCCCCTCTTCCTCCCCTCCCCCTCTGCACCCATGCACGCGCTCTCCGACATATAACCGAGTCTAACTGTTATCTGACGCTGCAAATCAATTTTGTCAGGGTGGGTGTAGGGTGGAAAGATTACAGCTGACAGTGTTCCACATGAATGACAAAAAGATTTTGACTGGATTTTCCGTTGTTCACCTTCTCAAAGAAGACATCAGCCATGTCTGTAACATGTTTCCAATGTTTGCAATTTCTATATCAAATGGCTGTTGTTTTTTTTTAATGGAGAATATTGACATTAGACATTCTGAATAAACGAGATGAAGATCTCAATTATCGGGTCGCGCTCATTGTATCCCATTTCTAGGAGTGTTTTAATTCTGAAGAGATTTAAGTTTTGAGCGCGTACACATGACTCGTAAGAAAGAGAAAGGTCCTGCAAACATCCTCTCAAACAAATAAGTGGTCCTCTGCTCGTGACGTGAAGATTACCTTGCGAGGTAAATTGTAACTCGGCAGACATTTCTAACAGAGAGTTCGCTCGATGGAGACAGCTATTTCTGTTGAGAATATGATCTACTGTAATCTGAGATGGTCATTTTTCAGGATTGCAGTCTGTGTTTATTACAGGGTCGGCCAGGGGGGGTAGTGGAATACCAATATACCCGAAAAAAAGTCGACAAAATACCCCAAAATACCCCAAACCCTGTTATTATATCCTATCGGGCTAAAGGAAGGTGTGGTTTGAATCAGGCATACATCTACCCTATCTCCTGACGTGTTCCGAGGACCCTGTGTTCTGGGAACGACCAGGGGAACGAGGTGAGCGAAGAGAAATACTCCAAGGGCGAAGGTGAGCGACGGAACGAGTTCTTCTCCGACTTCTTCCGCTGATGTCCCACCATTTTTCTTGCATATACTTCGATCTATTCCACAGACATAGAACCTACTACCCGCTTCTACTCCAATTCCCCCCATTTATTACCTCTTTATACAGAGCCAGAGATTTGTTTCAAACAAATGTGTGTAAATGTTAGTTTGAGCACCTGGCTGTTGTCATATAAAAATAGTATTTTAGCACTAAGCCATATTCTACCTACAATGCAACAACCATTTTCACTTCAAAACGAGAAAAACTAGTTTTGATAGCAATGAACTGGAAGGATGCATTTTAAACGGCTTTTTACTTGTCACGTTCTGATTGCATGCGCGGATTACGGCGATTCACGTGATGGTCATGCACTCCGGGAAACTGGACTCGAAATACATCATGATAACGATAAGTTACCTAGGACATCCAGTTTCCGAGTCACGCTCGTTTAAGTCTCCTGCGCAACTGTTACTTTGGTCTTGTCACGGTTCATGCTTCCTTCTCACTTGGTGCTAATGTGGAGTGAAGAACGGCTTTATAATTGTATTTTAGAGTCATGTTAGCTGAGGTTTCTCGAAGGAAGCGGTGGTCGGCTTCATTTAAAGGACCACACTCAACCAGTGTGCTTTGCGCTGATGTTGTTGTTATTATCCGGGAACTGAATACTCACATGAAGAGCTGCCATAACTACGAGTGAATATTTCAGAAAAAAGATAAATGAATTATGCAGCTACAATTAGATGTACGCATATTTTAGAGAGAAGTTACATGTACATACTTCCAGGAGTTAAAGAGTTAAATACTTTCATTATTTCGTAACCCTCGAGGAGAAAGCGTGACCCTTGACGAAACCAAACAGTAACTGCGAGGCAGACTACAACCACGTCGTCAGGGCCATCATAACTCATCGCGGGTTGGAGTGATAGAAGTTTAACTCAAGGCTTTTCCACAACAGACCCTCCATAAAAGCACGGACAATTGTGTAACACCCTCACCTCTAGATCTGAGGGGGGGGGGTGGTGCTGTCTCCTACTGAAATATGAAGGAAGATTAGGGAGAGGGGTGGTTGCTGACGTTATCGTCATCAATGTCGTCTTCGTTGTCGTCATCTTTACCGTCTGATGATTCAGTCATTGTTATGCTACTTCGATCGTTAGTGCTATTCATCCTCATCATCATCGTGAACATTATTGTCATAGTCATCGTCATCTTTATTGTGAACTTGTCCACCTTAATGTTATTGCTATCTTCGTCGTTTCCGTCATCTTCCTCATTATCATCATTTTTATCGTCAGAGTTATTTTACCATCATCGTCATCTCCATCATTATCGCTGTCTTTATCATAACCGCTATTATTATCGTCATTTTTATCGTCAGTGTTATTTTACCGTCACCGCCGTCTTCATCATTATCGTTATCTTTATCGTTACCGCTACTATTATCGTCATCGTTATTGTCATCTTCATCCACATCGTCATCGTCATTCTCATCTTTATCAGCTTTGCATCGTCATCATTTTCGTCCTTTTATTGTTGTCGTCATCATCATCATCATTTCAGTCATCGTCATTATCACTATAGTTGGTATTCAACAGAGGATATTCATGGCTGCTTGGAAATAGGAAATTTCTCTTCGAACGTTGAAAAAATATTTCAGTTGTTCACCTCGCTCGAATGTAATATTCTATTTATCATATTTAAAAAAAACAATGAAATGCTAAATAATTTAACTTAAATAATTTTTTTAAAAGTAGAACAACGCATAATCTTTTGAAGTGTGAAGATAACATGTTTTCCGCGTGAAAGCTCACTTCGTACTTCATTGAGGTTTAAATCATAAAGAATAGTGGGCTCCTGATAATATAAAATGTTTTTACGCGATAGCTTTATACATGGAAATAAAAAATGGAATATCTCCTCATTAACGTCAGGCTGGGAGTTACATCCCTGACACGTTCTTAACATTTACATCAATTTTCAGAAACAAGGTTGGAAGTGAAAAAGATGTTGGCGATTGGATTCTCGGAACGGTGACATCATACCAGCGCAGAGTTGTTACGACTTCAAATTCCTACAAATTCTTTAGTTTGTCGCCTTTCATACGAAAACCCCTCCATATTTTAATTCGATGTTGAAAACAGCTTATAATGAAGCCCTGATAGTGGATAAATCGCCGTTAAAGCCTCCTGTTTTCTTAAAATTCACTCTTTTGAGTCATCCATTGCTTTTTGAGAGGGAGAGATAGATACGCTGAAAACATCCAGGCAGGAAAACACTCTGGAGGAGAATTTCAAACTGTGCCCTTTGCCCTAGTTTTTTACTCCGAGCAGCTGCTCTTATGAAAACAAGTACAAGCTGAGTGATAGTTGAAGAGTTTGAGGAGAAAAAGGGAAACGATATTTATTAGAAACTACGTTAGGCGTAGGCGTGAGAGACGGGTAAAATTATGAAGACGTGTGCGTGTAATCGAAAAATTAACCTCGCTCCAAGTCACAGTAAGTGGTCTTCCCTCTTATCAAGAGTTCATTACATCACTAATCTGTTAAGTGTGTCTTTATTTTTATCTGCTTAAATCGTTTGGAATCCAAGGATGGCCTTAGAGCGTGTCAAGCTAGAAATACAAGAACTGGAATCTTGGAGTCTACCCTTAAGGGATGGTGGATTCCTCTCATAAGGTTAAGAAAATGTTTTATCATTCTGAGTTGATTTTGAAATTAACTCAGGTAGAGTAGATATATCTAGGCTTTTTGAAATGTGTCGATATCCTGCTATAGTTTGCAATCTGATTTCAGATTGGCCGATAAATGTATCGATGTTGTGAAAATAGTGTAGGCGGAATAATGAACTCGAAGCAAAAAGCAGGTACGCGTTAGGATTCGGGAAACCAGCCATTTTGCCTTTGAAAAACCTCTGTGATTTTTGTTTTAATAAATGCAGACTTCAACACCGCAAACCCTAGATTTCCCCACCCCCTGGCTACAAAAGACTTGACAGCTCTCCCTGGAAAACGGGAGGTGAGATCATTGTTAAGTGGAAATTTCATTTTAAAAAAATAAACATCCTTTGAAGTCCACCTCTATTCTGATTCGCAAATTTCTAACTAGCAAAATGCTCTCAAGGAAACTGAGGTAATAAACGACCTACCATGGTCACGTCCACAATGATTGTTTTACAACACGAACCAACAAATTGTTGCAAGGTATCATCTTTTTATGCAGCATCAATCATCAGCGCCTCTATTTCCTCCTATCAATAGAAACTTATGCTCACATTGCGCTGATTCAAAACAGCTCTTAAAGCCAAGCGGGCTTGTGGTCATCCTGTAAACAGATCTCTTCTTTAAACATAAACCCAAATTTGGGCAATAAGATCTCGCTCAGCTCTCAAAACTGATCTAATCAACAGAAAAATGTGAGTTCCGTCTGACCCAGATCCAATATCCCTTGCGCGAAGCTGACTCGATCAATTGTGATGATTTGATGGAATCAGTGGATCATTCTTTCCGGTGCTGAAGCGTTAAGCACTTTTACAGGATCGTGTTTCCGAGTGATGTAACTATAACTCTCAGTTCCTATAAAAAAGCCACTCGATTAAGATCGTTCGAACAACTTCGAAATGACGAGTACACAGCGAAGTCCTAGTCACTGCCATTACTTCTTAATCGGTTTCGTGCTTTTGGCAGTCGACGCTCAAGTTGTCAAAAGCGCTGATGATGTTCCTGATTCAACGACAATGGATCTGATAGAACGCATAAACAGAGACACTGGTAAGTCTGTGATTTGCAATATTTCGTCGCCGTCAAACGGACTCGCCGACTAGTAACAAGCTTTCGAATATTTTACCCAAAATCACGGTACACTTTTAGACGCATTACCGTACTCGGTATATTTTATCCTTTTTTCTTGGATTGTTGTTATAACGGCCCATCGACAGCTTACGTGTAAACTATTGTTGTCAGCACATTTGATGAGACTGTTTTGTTTAAGGTCATCGAGAAAATTTAGTTTTAAATCCAAACAACGACATAGACATTTTGATGCCTGGGTATAGCTATCTCCTTTCAAAGCGTATTTGATAATCCAGTACACAACCAGCGCACGAACACAAAGAATATGAAAATTTTTTTATAGGGGAGGGGCTCAAGGTGCAAAAACTCAATCAATCATTTATTTGCCATATTTTGTATTATCTTTGACTAAATTGTCCAACAATGCTGTGGTAAAATCAAATAAGGAGCAAGCCTGTCGTACCCTGGGATAAGCACAGTATCTGATACACCAAGAGGAGCCGAGAATTCCAAAAAGAATCCTATTCGATTATTTTTTATTTGACTGATAGTCACGCAATCATAAATGTGCTGAGTCACAATTTAGGGTTAAGGTAGAGAAACCCGACAACAAAAAGATTCAAAGATTGTTTCTAGAATATTAATTTTGACAAATTCAGGAAAATGTTACGTCAAAACTGTGACGCGAAGTGTAGTCCAAATTTGCCTGAGAGAGCGTGTTCTATAATTAAATTCCGATTTTCGTGAATGCTTCGCCGAGGTACCGCTTTCTAAACGGACTTCCGTTTTAAGTCTTGAAACTCTCTGGATACGCAAACATGAGAGCTATTCACTAAAAACTGTTTATGATATCAACTGAAAATAATTCTTCCATAAATGTTGTTAATCTGGATTTCTGTTCTGTTTTTACTCAATTTCGATTATACTTTCAGTGTGAGCTTTGTGAGTATAAAAATTTGTCCTAATTTGTCGCTGCTTTGAACATTGTCGTGTTTTTGCGAAATTTTATTATTTTCTTACATAGCAAGAGCAAGTCAGCTCTGCCATAATTTTCAATCGTGACAAATAGTTGCTAGTAAAACTACTACTCTATCCGAAAGAGATCCTTCCTGAAGGTACTAACCAGATAAAAAATCCATGAAAAACTATCATCGCCTCTCGATATTTTTTTGATAATGCTGCATTTGCCTTTCTTTCACTAACATAGTTTATTTTAGGGAAATGAGGGCTTGGTCAAAAAGTGCATGCATGTTTAAGTTCACACCTTCTCTTGAAACCTGGTTCACCCTTGATTCCCTACAAGGTCACTGACCCTCTTTAATACTTCGTTCACCCTGTCACTGTCAACAATCAGCAAACCATTCAACGATAAAGTAGCAACAGCTTAAACTTCATCAGCACGCATTCTTCATAAGTGGAAAGGTAGTATTCTATCTTAAGTTTACTACCATTTTTGGCATCATGACGTTCGTCCTTTTGCTGTCTGTCAAAGTTCTTTAAGTAAGCGTGCTTCAGCAAAAGCTGAAACGCGAAATTCTCGCATGGTTCCTGCGCTCAACATCTCCGGAACTTTTATTTTCCAATTTTTTCATCAGTTGAAGGCTCGTTGAAGCCTACTTCACCATGGTCTTGAAAAGCTGGTGATCCCAGCGATTATGATTAGACAAGCTGCACTGTTAACTCTCTGGTAAAATTTCTTCCGCATCAATAAGAAACAAAACTAGATGACGTCCAGAGCAGGCCTGTCTTGGTTTTCTTTTTTCACCTCGAAAGGAGCGCCGGGTGAAATAAAACGCAAAAAGTGACGTTCGGGTTGTAGGCTGAGTAACCTCGGTGACGGCATCCGCTGATTCATATGTCATGCTTAACACTAGTGTGGAATTGGGTGTGCATACGATTAAAAATAGCATAGAAAGTTGACCAAAAAGTCTGGTAAATGCCTATGCTTTTAAGCTAGGAAAGTTCAACAGCGTACGGTGGCCAACGCAAAGGAATAATTTTCTTTTGGACAGAAAGTTTCAAAATCACAAAAGTGATTATTCGCATACATAAACCGAGTTTAAAGAACGTGGGATCTTCAGCAGTGGGAAAAACGTTTATGCAAAAAAGACGACAGTGGAATATTGAAATTGCGCCACACCTTTGGCCCTCAGAAATTAAATGGTGAGAACATGGCGTGTTCTTTATCATTTTTATTTGTTTTTGTATCCCAATCTTCTTGCATAGATCCATCCGCTGAACAGGTTGCCATTATGGAAAATGATATTCGTATGCCACCGTCAGAGTCAGATGCATCCAGCAATGAATTTTCCAACGCCATCCGCCAAAAATTCTTGCTTTGGCCCGGAGGAGTTGTACCATATGTGTTGGCCGACAGCATTAGTAAGTAAAGATCCATCGTATCTAACCAGCTTGTCGAGAGTTCTACTGCATCGTAAGTAACACGCACGGCCTAGGGAGAACATCGGGGTCTAAATCACTCATGCACAGGTTATTTCGTAAATTGCAACCTCACGTGCGTGGAATATTTATCTCATTTCATGAAACATACCTAAGAGGGTTCACCATCCCGATCGACGCAGTCTTAGAAAGAGATGACATCTTACCTCCGTATCGGGGAGGTATGAGGTAAATTTGATGTATGAAAACTTCCTCGCCTTGAGACACTTTCTTTTCGGGTTGCACGCACATATCCCTAATACCAATTTATCACGCTTAAATACATTTGATAAGACAATATTTGGCTACCACAAAGTAGAGGTTCTGTCAGAGGCTCGACATCTTTTAACAATTCAGGGAGTGAACTAGAAGGCTTTGAGATCACTTTAAGCTGTTATTAAAACTTTAAGAAATTCCCCAATAAAATCTTGTACATAAAAAGACAAACAAGCAGACTCAACCGAACACTTCACCTACAAAGGGTGTTTACACTTCTCTTTAACTCTTTCTTTATTCTTGTCTATCTAGCATTTCAACAGTTTCCCACGCTATTTGGACTGATATGAATGACAGAATTTCTGATTCTTGTTTTTACAGAAAACCGCAGCAAACACATTGAGGTATTATTTGAAGCGATGAAAATATGGGAACGCGCTACATGCATAAAATTCGTGAAAAGGACAACAGAGAGTCGCTATGCGATTATCTTTTACGGTTCCAGTGGGTATGTAACAGGAAAATATCTCATTACTTGACTTCATTCTTTCACTATTCCTGCATTTGTTTGCGTCCTCTTTCATCTCTGATTCCGCTAACGGTATCGGTATATCATCTTTAATTTATTTAACCCGTCATTATTTATCATGTGGGGGTTTGAGGTGGTAGAGGATTACGTCACCTTTAGTTCAGTTACACGTTAGGATCTAGGTACGAGATCGATTAGTAGGGGCATCATTTGTCGCCAACATACAGAGAGGGAATATAGAAAATTGACTGCCAATTAATTGTTAATGATGGGAGGGGGGGAGAGGGGGGAAAGGGTCGTAAGAATATCACGGAACCTTACGGTGGCCGGTGGGTTCAGGTAAATTTTATCGTGACACAAACAAAATCCTCTAAACCCCCCCCCCCTCCTCCCTCCTACCCCAGGCGGTTAATAATTCCCTAACTGGCTGTTCTCTCCAACTGATTATTCACTCGTTTTTTCGTGCGTGCTTTCGTTAGATCGACCGTTACCTCATTTTCATTGCTCGACGCGCCAGTGATTGAGCCAAAGTTACACAAGAAGTGTACTTGGTGCTCAATATAGACAAGTTCACTAGCTATTAGTGATTGTGGATTGAATGTTGCCCAGAGCAATGTTTCGCCTCAGAAAATATACTGTAGATAACAAGTGAATGCGTTCTTCATTTCGCTTATTAGTGCATCAGTCTTCGTCTTTCATATTTGATTGCGTTATATCACAGGTATTTGTGTTTTTTTCTTTGACAAATCTTCCCCAATCTCTTGTTGCAGATGCAATTCCAATATCGGAGCGATGTTCTTTAGACCTTCGATGCTTTCCCTCGGAGCAAATTGTCAGATAGTTTCCATAGCAACGCACGAGCTGGGTCATCTCCTGGGATTTGGACATGAACAGAACAGACCAGACAGAGACCACTATGTGGATATTCTGTGGCAAAACATTGCTCCAGGTAACGGTTTATCCATATTACACTATATTACCTTTTACTCAATCTTTTTGAATTAGCCCTTAAAATGTCTTTTACTGGTCAGCTGCACAAATAATGGTAATAATGTGAATGAAGTCGCCCGTATTTGTGTCCATCCTAATATTCAGAATATCAGAACTCCTACGATACAAAGTATGAGTAGAGGAGGATTTTACCATATAGCCTTATAGTCATGTAAAAAACGCCGCGTAATACTGGCCACGAACTATTTATTTAAAAAAAAATTGGAATGATAACAATTACTCGTGAACCCTTAATTCTGCTCAGCTGCGATTTCGAATTACTCAACTTTAATTTGAAAAGTTGTTGTTATATTACATAATTCTCGCCCCTTCAAGTGAATCTTGTGATGAAAGAAGATTATTGATACATAAGTTCCACACCAATTAAGTCGCTGAAAAGATACAATACATTACTGAACTACCTTAAATGGAATGTTAAATTCAAAATAGTTTAAACAAACAAAAGTACAAAAGTTCAATGACAGCTCTTTTTGTAAGTATAGTTTTCATAAATTGATGTTTATCCACTTCCCTAATGTTTTCCCTAAATGAATTTGTTAGTTCTTACAAAATATACTCAAGATGTAGTTTTACTTTCAAAACCACACCAACTACCATACTGCATTACCCACATAACTACATTGCTTATAATACCACATTACAAGAAATTTTGGAACATTAAATAAAGTTCCAAAAAACAGAAGCAGTTGTATAATGTAGGATAGACCGTTATTTGACAACCGTAAAGTGTTTCCCGCAGAGAAATTGTCCGACTAATTCTCCTCTTTGTCTTTCGCAGCTGATTATAGGATTTTTAGGAGGCAAAGCTACTATTCGTTCAGCAGTTATGGCGTCCCATACGATTATCATTCCATCATGCATTACGGGAGGTATCATTTTTCCAAGAATGGTCAACCAACTATAAGGGCACGTGATCCCACAGTGAAGTGGTTTGGTAGCCGTTCTCTCAGCAAACTAGACATACAGCAGGTTTGAGAGTTTTGATACGGTGAAGCTTTGTACAAGTTTCGTTTTGAATTCATGGACTAACAGATTTTTAGTGAGCCTTGAGTATAACTACTAACTGTCATTCATCCTTCTGCGGATCAAAAACTTCCATGTCACGCAGCTCACTGCTGCCAACCAAATTTCGTACGCTTAACCAAAGAACTTGCACTATTATAGCCTTGAATGACGCATTTTTAAAGAGCCAAAAGCGAAAAAAACTGGAACCAATTCGAGAAAAGATAAGTCATTGTAAATGAGCCCAACTTCTCCAAATCTCCGATCTGAGATTTCGAAATCTTCATTGTACCCTCTACAAAAAATCTCATGTCTTTGAGTCACAAAGGGTTGGTAGGTATACAACACACGAGCGCTGGGGTTCAACTGGGATTCTGCATGCCTCAATTCCACGAAATAAACACCAAACAACCAGCTCTACCGACCTTTGACAGAAAGTAAGGACAATTTTCCACATATCTCATCATGTCACTTTTTATTGTAATCATAATCTTAGTTAAGTATTTTTCTGCCTACCACATGACATCCCTGGCAACTTCACGCATTTTGTCACATTTGTGATTTCTTGTTTCTTTTGTGTTTTGTATCTTTTTTAGATGAACCTCATGTACTCATGCCCAGGTATGAAAATATATGATCTCAGTTCTCAGTTATTTGGCGATGAAGTCGGCCCCACTTGAAAATGTAGTGCAGGGTTAGACTTTTACCACCGTTAATTCCCCCCAAAAAAAACATTTTTCAATTTTAAGATCTTTTACTGATGACAGGGAATGCTGAAGTATTTCAAATTTGCAGTGACGCTGTCGAAAACGTGAAAGAGTTGTATCACACTTCCTAATGAGGTTAAAGTTTATTCACTTGATTTACTGATTCTATTACAACGCTTTGGTTAACTCCCACTCACGGCTGCTGCGTATTCAAAATAACTCACACAGGACGTCCCGTTGCAAGCACTTAGCACAAGGCCACACATGGGCGAAAAAAACACGTGCCGGTTTGTCCGGTTATATAATAGACAAACGAAATCACTTATAAATTTCGATCAAATAAAGACTAACGAACGTATTATACAGTTTCCCACAATAGAAAAAGGTGTTTATTTCAGCCTTTATTTGTAGGCTTGATGTTGTTACTTTTTTGTGATATCCTTCCAGCATGCGTTCATCAAATTTTAAGTCAGGTCACTTTCTCGTTAATGGAGAATAAGTGTACTTTTGTAACATACATAAAATTCTTCTTAGTTACGTATCGTCTTGTCAGTAAAGGAGCAACGCTACGTTGTCCTGATCGTGAAACTCACCTTCTGTCTTTCATTAGTATCGGTTCATCGTCCTTGCGAATGGTATCATCGGTAAATTGTGTTGTCAACATTGAAGGATTTCCCTTATTTAAACGAAATCTGTCAACTAATTCAGCTTTGGCTTACTTCAGATATTCCAGTATTTCCTGAGCAATTTTCCATCAGAGATACTTCAAGCGCGCACTTAAATTGCATTGCTCTGGACCAGCCAGGTGACAGGGAGTGGAGAACAAAGTATCTTTGCTATAAGCCCGCCTTGAAGAGGCTTACAATCACGTGGTCACGCAATGGTGAGATCACTAACCAGGATTGTGTGAATACCCGGATGCCTCATGTGCGTTCTTCAAGGTTGTGGGAAAAAAGTTACCTTTGCTTACCTCGTAACAGTTTGCTGAAACTGAGTTGGTCAACGGATGGACCTTTGAAAGGAAAAGGATGTCTGGAAGTGAGGAGAAAAGGAATAAATGGAGAAGGGTATTTCCTGTGTGGAACTTCCAAGTATAAAAAGATAGGTGTGTACTCTTAAGTTTGCATGAAAATTTGTCAGAAAACATGTAAAACAGCTGTGGCTTGTGTGTGAAAAGAAAAAATTTCACACGCTCCCATAGGATTCCAGCCGTAGATAATGTGGATATCGTTACCGACCTAAATACAGGGAATCTTCTATAGGAGACATGCGTTAGGTTCATTTTTGTCAATCGTCCTACATACTGACCTATATGAAAGATACACGTCAACGATTAGTAGTATATCTTAGTGCAAATCTCCTCTTTTGATGGGAGTCAATATTTTAAAAAGCAGTTTTGACTGATTTTTTATCCTTATTTAAATAGTTTGGGTTAGAGGATCCGATTGAATAGGAACACGAGTACTCGGGGGTAACCCGCGAAGAACTTATATCTCATCCAGGAGGAGGGAGTAGCAGTACTCCCGGTTGCCAATCTCGTACCCAGATCCTACCGTGTACCTTATAACCACTTGGCGGTTGATTTATGCTACAGAAACTTGAAGAGGCTCCTGCTGGATCAGCGACTTGGTGCGAACTCAGATTTTCAGTTTTCATCCTTTTTTTCTGTCATAACAGATGGTGACTGGTCAAGATGGTCGCGTTGGCGTTCATGTTCTCACAAATGCGGAGGTGGACATAGCATTCGAACACGATCGTGTGACTCGCCTTCGCCTAAATATGGCGGCGCTCAGTGCCAAGGAAGTTACTATGAATCTAAGTTATGTAAAACACAACGCTGTCCTGGTAAGTATCTGTGGAGGATTGAGTAACAATTAGAGAAGAGTAAACGTAAAAACCAGTCTCTCGTTAAAACTGATTAACTTACGCCGAATCAAAACCAAAGTGATCACAATGGACTATTTGCACAATCTTACGATGCTTCTCTCCATCCATGGGTATGATGGAATGCCGGTAAACTGCTGCAAAAAAGTTGATGAGAACTGGCATGCAGTTAAGGAAGAAGCAGCGATACTCCTTATCACTTTACTTGGCTAAAACCAGAATATGTCTCAGTGGGCTGAGCCGTCAGGATTGTATGCAAAGTTAACATCATCTTTATTCCCCCCACCCTTCCCCCCTCTTCCCACTCAACCTGCGACTATTTCCGCACAAGTAGTCGAGATCTTTTCTTCTTTTGTAGAATTTCCATCGTGGCCTGCCGATTTCAAGTTCCTGTTTATAAGTTTTTCTCCCAGACGACATAAGTGTATCCCGATATACGAGAGATCCCAATACCGTTCATGGGCCCGCGCACGACTCTGTTGGCCGAGTAACAAGCGCTTTATCGACATCCGGTGGTCTGATCAAGGAAAAATAGCGGGCATGAGCTGCACCAAAATCACACAAGAAAACGGACGCATTCAACGAAATGGCTGGGACGACAACTTCTTGTGTGTACGAAACGTTCCTTACACGTAAGTAGATAACGTGGTTTCATCAACTGGGTTGATAATGTAAATTGGCCGCCATAAAGCCTTCCCGAAGCTGACGAGCGTTAGGTCTTCGTTAGAGGGAATAGAGGAGTTGTGGAAAACAGGAAGACTGCTAGGCGACCGATTCCGAGACATGACGTGAAAAGGATTGACAAAGACGCATCCAAACCGATCGCAAGACACTTTTATCTCCAAAATTATTCTCATTCCTACATATAGGCAGTTCTCTTTCTCATTGGCACTCTTATTCCCCACAACTGATTAAATCTTTTTTTTTCTCTCTACCATGTTCCCATAACAGCGTAGCTCTATTTTCTGCGTATATAACACTCCACTCACAATTCCTTTAGAAACTTACCCCCATTTAACTTGTAGGTATGTCGAGAAGCATTTTACTTTCCTTTTTAAAATCTTGTCATTGAGGGGTTCGCCTACTAATAAACATGTTTCAAGTTTAACCCGCATTACACATACAGTTGCTAACGCAGAAAGCAGGAACTTTCCATGGTGGGAACTTGTGGGAACAGAATGGAAAGCTTCTGGAACAGAACATAGGATATGTCAATCTTTTCATTTTATACCTTGATACTCTTTCCAACGAGTGTCTGTAATATAATTTTGGTACGGTCCTTTCTCTAGTTTTAGTTGGTCGACAAATGGACCTATCAAAGGGTTGCGATGTCTGCGATGGCAAAATAACTACGTCTACCGTCGAAGAGTGTGGCAGAATAACTACTTGTGTGCAAACGAGTATCCCAGGCCAACCAGAGGTTAGTAAAATTTGATTCTTTCGCTCCCAGGAGAGACTAATATGGAATTTTTTTCTATCAAGATTATAATATTTTGTGGCGGGCAGATGAAGAGAAGGAAGAAAAACATGAACTGCAGGATTTTGTGTGGGTTGATGTAAAATCCTAAGTGCTACTATCGTGGGAGATGTATAACGGGTAATACAGAGAAGAAATATCGAGACCCTGGGAATAATAGTGTCGATCGATCTTTTGTTGTTGTTGCTTTTGATGTCGTAATTATTTTGGACTGAAAGATTTATGAACTAGTGGACTAACTCACTTATTTACCAATCGGATGAATGAGCGACTCAAGTGCTAACTGAGTGACTGACTAAATGACCTAATGACGGACTGTCTTCATAAAATAACCATTGACTAACCGCATTTTCTTCAAAAAGTACCCTTTATTCATGACTGACTGTCTGTCTTACTATCTGACTGACTGACTGTCTGACAGACTGACTGACTGTCTGACAGACTGACTGACTGTCTGACAGACTGACTGACTGTCTGACTGATTGACTGTCTGACTGACTGTCTGACTGATTGATTGTCTGACTGATTGACTGTCTGACTGACTGACTGACTCGCTGAACGATTGCAAAACTAACTTATTAAGTGACTGATTGACTATCAGACAGACGGACTGAGTGATCGACTAAGTGGCCGGCCGGCTGACTAGATGGGTGACTAATTGTTTGACTAACTGATTGACTTACGGAATGTCTGACGGACCGAGCAACCGTGCGGCCGATTGAATAATTGAGGCACCTACTAATGCACTGACACACGGTTGCCACACTGACTAACAGACCAGATAGCTAACTCATCTACTGACGCCCTGAGTGATATTCTTGGTGTGCAAGTTTTTAAGTTCTTTCTTTGCTTTTATATCTTCCAGCCCCCACTACAGGCTGCTATTCGTACTGGCATTCATTCACTGTCAAAGGGGTACCACATTGCTACTTTCCAGTCTTGAATAAGCGCGTTAAGTGGACAGAGGCACAGGAATTATGTAGGGAAGTTCAGTCAAACCTTGTTAGCATGCACAGCATAGAAGAACAGAGTTTTATAAGAAGGTTATCTGGAAGATCTAGTTTCTGGATTGGTTTAGAATTTGAGCGAGAATGGCAATGGTCAGACAGGTAAAGCTATGAAAAACCTTTTTTTCCATTTCTCAAATTAAAGAGTCGAAAAAAAAGTCCGAAAGGTAAAGTCACCCAAACCAATCCTTAGAATATTTAGGAAGGCTCAGAGACATGTTTAATTCAGCGTTTAATGCAATTCATAATTGAAATTGTTTTAGTATACCTTGAAATACGAAATGGTCCCCTCAATGTGCGCTATTCGCTTAAATGCTCATCCAATTAACACAGCGGACAAACATCTGCGCATGTGGGAACATTATAATAACTAGATGGCGTGCTTTCAGGCTGTCAGAGCCAATTTGTCTCACAAAAGTCGCATACAGCCACACAAGCCCACAAGCCGGAAAGTCACGGTGTTTAAGAAGCGTATAACATTTTTTGGTAGAGATCAAAACAAAATGGAAATCGACAGGATGCTTTACTTACTTAAAAGCTTTGTGTTCGTAAGTCTCAAGTTTTCCTTTTCCATACTCCTGTTTTCTTTACCGATTTCTGTAAACTTTTCAATTTTCTTTCACTTATTTTGCGAGATAGCGGTTTTTTCCTATGTTTTTGAGCGGGAGTTAGCGCGCGAGAGTCCAAAATTAATCCCCTCGTGCATGGCCAACATTTGACCGCTGTGTTTATCCAATCGGATGTGATCACCCCCTGTTTCCTGCGCATCATGAAATTTGCTGGTTTGCTCTGAGATCTCAATGGCTCCTTGTGTTGCAATCCTATTAGTTTCCATGGCTTTTATTACGGCCCTAGTAGTCTTAAGCGACCAAGAGTTTTGTAAATTCCTTCGGTCGGAGGTTTATATACGGCGAGTTATCGATCTTTATCGAAATCGCAATGGTAATCCACTTATCCGCTTACATGCCATAAAAGTATCTATGGTAACAAGTCACTTATCTCTCAGGCAGTAAGCCTGTTTTTGTGTGTATCCATGGTAACTTAAAGTTTTTCTTCACTAGGAGTCGCTTGTCATACCTCAATTGGTCTCCAGGTGAACCAAATAATGGCGGCCGAGGGAGACCTGAAAAATGCGCAATGTTCAGTGGAAGAGGCAAAAACTGGAATGACTATCCCTGTGATTCGAAATTCGCTTACATTTGTAAGATGAAAGCAGGTTCGTATTAACTCAGAAATACCCTAATTGACCTTTATCTTAATTCGAACATAATCGAATCTTAACTATTACGATTATCAGTTGGTTGAGGCACGGTTTAATTTTGGTAACGGGGTTTTGACCGTAAAATAGGTTTTTGTTTCAAAAGGTAGCCGAATCTAAAGTGCCGTCAAACGTGAAAATTTGCCAACTGAGGTCAAACGTCACATTTACCACTGGAAACGGAACCAGTTAACCGTGACAACAACAAGATTTTAGCGTTAAGGCGTGATTGCCAAACTTTCGTCGCGCCTCACTCATTCATTTAGCCATTCGTTCATTCATTCTCTGATCCAATCATCAAGCACTCACTCTCTTATTTGCTAAAAGAAGCTGTCTAGCACGTACTTTGACAACCTTTTAATTTCAGCTGAGGCCCCATCCAGATCTAAACTAATCTCCTACTCGGAGCTTACCTTATAGCTGCAACAGAGATGTAGGTTACAATTGCTTGGCCGTGAAAGGTCTGGGTACGAGACTAGACCCACCCATACTACACTTGAGAAAATTTGAACAGTGCATGGTAAAATTTATAAACTACTTTACGATACTAGCGGCAACTCGACCCAAACCTCTGTCGATTTTTTACTCCTCCGCTCCTATCGCGTCTCGTTTTACTAACAGAAGGCATGGAGCAGACTAGTTTTCCTCTGACACGTGACACGGACCCAGTTTATACTCCCGGGTAGAGAAAGGTATTGTGGGAGTGAAGTGAAATGTCTATAAAAATTTAAGACCATCAGCTCGACTCTTAACCCGCATTACACCGCCTTGTTCATGCTTTACCCAAATAACCCTCTATGACTGCAGTTTGTTGACGGAGAAACGAAGAAGTAGATACACGATCTGGAGAAAATGTAAGCGCTATCATTAAGATTGGCTTGATTCACTTCTTCGATTCACTACTCCACTTAGATATTTCACGGTGTGATTATGACAATACAATCAGACTTTTATGACCTAGCTATTTCACTTCAATTTTTCTACTATTCAATAACCTAAGTTATTTTATTTCCTTCTTTCAGTTCTCAATTAAGGAAGTAAAGAAGATGATTAATTATCCAGAGGTTTCATCATTAAAGCCCAAGGCAGCAACGTCTCCGAAGCTATAAAATGACTGAGAACAATTTTAGAGGCAGTTTCTTTCTTTCTTTTTTACAGTTTTGAAAAACTGGAAAATTCAAGCATTGGATTTATCTTTAAGAGTCTATCATGATTATTTCTCATTTTTTTAGATCAGCAGTATATAAGTACAGCGCAATGGCAGCTGTATATGTTATAAAACTTTTGATCATGTCTTGGAGAAACCGGAAAGGAATAAAGTTTTATTACGGCTGTTTCTGAAGAGTTATGACACTCCATGTATTGCGGTCCTTCTCTTTCCTTCCATACAATTTGTTATCTTTTTCCTTTTTTACCCATTCGTTGACGAGGCATGTACTTGCAATATTAAAGAAATACGATACACCACTAACCAAGAAAGAAATTAATACTACAAGGAAGTAAAAAGCACGAGGCCCAGAATTGGTAGAAGATCTTGAAAAGAAAGACTTTGAGGAGAATGAGCGTAGCTTCTTGCGTAAACGTTGTTGGGCTCGTCATGTCACGTAATCATTTCTCCTTGCAAACTAAGAGGCTAAATTATGCGCTTAATAACATAGTTTCGACACGTGGCCCAATAATTGATAGCTCCCTATACTGTGGACGTTTCCACTATGCAGCTCAAATTCCTGATCCCTTTTGAAGGGGAAATCGCTTCTGAAAATGATAGGGTGTTGAAATGAAGCTTGGGAAATTAAAACTAGACTACAAGTAATCCTTACTATTCTGCGAGGTCCGTCGCGCGAATTTCAAAGACGCAGCGCATTAAATGAGACTGCTAGTAGCATTGAATAGGGTTAGCTGCGTCAATGACTGATTTTACAGAAAATGACCTTTCTGCGAATTGGTTATTCGTAAATCGTTGAAATTTCTTTTGATTTAAAATATCGGTGGCTGGGAGCTTTCAATCATGTTTTAAATCCCTAGTTTCTTTGTTATTTGCCTCAAGACAATTTTCTCTGAAGTACTTCGTAACCAAGGGCATTATTCAAACTTTTAATGAAGTTACTCATCATGTTTTTGTTTGCAAATGATTGTGTCGACCGTGTCAGCTTACATCCGACATCTGCGTTTCTTTGCACGTGTTTCGCCTTTGTTTTGTCCTTAATTAAAACAAAATCCACGCTAAATAATTTTCTGACGCAAAAGCAGAAAGTTATCTCGCAGAACAGAATCGAATTATTTCAGAATTGCGACTTATTGCAGTTCTGGTTTCCCGTTTCTTTAGCTAAAAACGCTTTACACATGTTTACACACACATTCCGTATGCACCATATCGTGATGCTACAAGGATCCGGCTTTATCGGGAAGAAAGGACAATTGAATGTCAAAAGAAGGAACTTACCGAGTTGTTCTTATTAAACAGTAGAGGACAAGAGCAAAAACTGTGCCTTGAGAAAATAAAAAACTGGAAAAAACAAAAGTCTACAAAAAAGTCTGAAATTCACGCACACTTGCGAGCGGATTGAAATCAAGATATTGTAAAGAGACAGTCTATATCTAAAATACGTTTTAGCCCGCCGAAATCTCCGTCTTAGCCCGCAAAATGCGCCACAACGCTCAACAAAGTGATGAATAGGCTTCATTTTGCAACTGTATCCTTTACACCTTTACAAAGAACACACCCTCTACAATTTGCAAACAAAAGAAGAGAGCAAAAGTATGGACAAACAACACAAATTGCCAGTTCCTTGGGCTCGGTCGAACGTTCGAATTAGGGGCTAAAAATCAGCTTATTTGATGTCTTCAAGGACTTTGCCTTTCCCGCTATGGCAGAGTTTCATAGTATGTAAGCGCTTTTTTGATTTAACATTGTTAATTTTTTATTTCGGATAAACCCAATTCTTGCTCTCTTCTAATTCTTTTGTCATAAGATGAAAAATATGTGCATAGAGATGCTCCTTTCACAAAGGCAAACAATACTGAAAATTTTTGAAGTCGCCGCTCAAGTCAGCCTCCTTTGCAGGGCGACAGCTGATTGGCTTGTAGTCCTGCTGCTTGTTTTAAGTTGAAGGTTACAGATTTCTATGTAAGCAGATGATCGTGTGTTGGCCGCGTCCAAGGTAAGATTTCGTGGAAATTTCTTCATCCTCTTGAACTTGTGTAGTCTTGGAGGTTTTAGCTCCTTTAAGTGGATATTTCTCTTTTAGATCTGACCAGAATGCGAGAGATAATACACGATCGTTCATTGCAAGAGCAACTTTGAACTCGAGGTTAGCATCATGCCACTAAGACATGCCACCATGGTGGATAGACAGTCTACGCTACCTTCGTATCCAAGCAAGATAACTACTCGGTGAGTCTTCCACTAAATACATAACAAGGGCTCGTATTTTCAGCCAAAACGGCTTGATGTTGATTCCAGAGTGATGTGGTCTTGAGTGCAAAGTGAAATATTAAGAGTATTCGATGCATTGTCGTTTTCGATGATCGTAGGTTTCCTAGTAAATTCTGATATTTCCCAAGTAAATATCAGTTGTTGCTGTTAATTTATAAATCAAGATTTACTCTTAAATGAAACCAAGGGTTAAACGAATTATTAATATCTTTTTTGCGAAAAATGGCTATATACTTCTGTGTTCGTGTGAATATTGCCTTGTCTCTGGTGAAACGGGCGCGGTACAACATTATAAACTATTCGAAGGACAGATGCGCTAACCTTGACCATACACAAAGCATGCCTTTGTGAATTCTCTGCACAACAGTTAAGCTACATGTCTCTTCTATTTAGCTGCAAAATTCCTGCCCGTAAACTTTGCAGATCTAAAGAACAAGGTTCATATTACCTTTTAACTAATTTATATGCCAATCATTCGAGCTACAAAAGAACAAAGGAATGCAAATTTAACTACATTTCTGCGGACCATCTACGCGGGAAATGAGATCCATACTTCGAACAAACATTTTCACCGATTAGATACTTAAAAAATCTCCGCATCTAATTTGTTTAGCTGCTCTACGTTGCTTTTAGAGAGTTGGAAGCCGTAATTGAAGTGACGTAGCTTGGAAGGTGGTTTTTTGTAATCACGGATTTGCTTGTCAGTTGGGTTGATATTGTAAACAGAATGATACATGTTGATCTCTACTAGTACGATCGTTTTTCCTAATGGTGGTTAAATATCTGGTTTGTGGTTGACTGGAGGAGAAGAGGGAGTAGATGAAATTTTTCACGCTGCTCTCCCTTTGAATTATAAAACCTTTTGGAAAAAGAAAAAAAAACTTTGTTGACTTTTAGGTGATTGGAATATATTGGTTTGAACAGTAAAAGTGTGCGAACATTTTCCAGTCTGTTGAAAAGTGTTTTAATGAATGGGCATCCAAAGAGTGCAAAGCAACAGGTTATATTTTTGAGAATTAAATTATGTAAAAAATCATCCAGACTTTTGCATGTCCACTTTATGAGTAATGGTTGCTTGTGATGTGATAAATAATTTTTAACCTGAATCCTTTAACATATTGTTACTTGTGTATATTACCATGTAAATTCACTTGTGTTCAAGTGACTTTCTATTTGAAAGCCTATGATTATGGTCTTGAATCTCTCCAAATTTTACATATTTATAAAGGTGTCATTACAACAAGGATGAAAGTTGGACATTGTGCAGAAATTCATTCCTTATGTCTTTTTCCTTGCTTTGGATGGCAACAATTAAGGGTCTTTCTTTGCTTTGGATGGAAATAACTAAGTATCATGGTGTGCTTAGCTATACATATATATATATTTTTTAAAATTGAACCAGGATTCTTTAACATACTGCAACTTTTGCACTTAACCTTCTAAGTTTGGTCAAGCACAAGTGATTTCCCATTTGCAAAGGTGTGACTTTGGTTTTGACTCTTACCACAGGGATGAAATTAGGATCTTTTATGGGGTAAATGTGCAGAAATTAATTCCTTGAGTCTCTTCCTTATTTGGATGGAAATAATCAAGTGTCTTGGGTTTTTTTTTTTGGGATGGAAGTGGCTTGGTGTCCCAAGGTATAATTTTTGTTGACATCTTGCTAGTGCTCTTAATGGAAACTTGAGGAAAACTGGAACTTTTTTTACTGAAATGTTGAGGATGTCATTGAAATTTGAGTCTCAGTTCCAAAGAGGCATCCTGTCTTTCATTGAGAAAATATCTGGTGAATTGTGGACAGTGACAAGAATTCTGAAATTTTAACATGTAATTGTAAGGATGGGAAATGTTTAGTTTCATTTCCATTTATTTTTGAATGCCACTAATAAGTAAGAGTAAACAAGAGGGATACAGATAAAATATTGTAACCAAATTGTAATTTTATCACTGTCCAAAGAAGGTTTGTGAAAATATGCTTTTCAAGATTATGCAACTCCATTTACAAACTGGAGGTTTATCAAGATAAAATCTGACAATAATAAAAGGGATGAATTTATACATATTATTTGTTTATTTACTTACCTAATTACCACTTGAATAATTCAGTGGCCAACTTAGTGTGCCACTGGTAATAATATTTATAATTTTTATGCTATATGTGCCCATCTTTAAGTAAATACAGTTGCTTGATTTCAGCAAACATATATCACTCTTTCTAGAGCCCAACTGGTGGAGTCTCAGAACAAACAAGGCACAAGAGCGAGACTGAAATTTAAAAAAATAACAACTTGATCTGCACAACTGTTAAACAACATAAATAATTTGTCCAGAACCAAAACAAACTTTTTGCCTAAAATTACTTCAACCTTAATCAAAGATCAACAACATCAAAAAATCATTTGATTATTATGGTTACATATTTAATAATGTAAACAACAGGAATGCAGTGAAGATAATGTTCTGAATAAGCCTTGGCTAAGGGTTGCCATCATGCTATGCCAACTCTTGGGTTGGCATAACGTAGTCAGCTAAGTGTATATGCTTCACAGTTCCTTTGCAACTCTGAATATACAGCAACCTTGGTGGTTGTTTAAGTCGTAGGTGTAGGGCTGTTTACTCCTTGTGTTAATCTCGCAATTAATCACTGTTGACTCTCTTCTCTCAACTCCCGCTCCTGCTCTCTCATTTTTCTTTCTTCCTGGAGAATCCAGCAAAATC